CTTTGTCTTATAGGGTTTATACTGAGTTCAGTATTGTATAACTGTATTAATTCAACTGTGAACCTAAAACTTTACAGCAAATTTTGAAAGAGATGCATCTTTGTTCTGGAAATTGCCCTTATTAAATATGTTAATGCTATAATGAAATGCTACTTCTAATCATGTGCTTATTAAATAACTCAAAAATAAACAAACAAATAAAAAAAAGAGAAAGAAAAAAAAGATTAAGAAAAGAAAGCGGGGGGGATCATAGGTTGTGGTCATGCTCAGCTACATTACAAATCTGGGGCCAGCCTCAACTGCATGAGACTGCCTCAAAAAACTAAAAATTAAAAATAAAAATAAGGCCAGGCATGGTGATGCACGCCTTTAATTCTAACTCTCTGGAGGCAGAGGCAGATGGGTCTCTGTGAGATTGAGGCTAGCCTGGTCTACATAGCAAGTTCCAGGCCAGCTGGGGCTACAGGGTGAAGTTTCTGAACTTAATAATTTGCTGAGTACTTTTCATTTTTATTTTGATCCAGTGCCAAAAAGATGGATGAGAATGTTGCAGAGTTTTTCAGGAGGACCATCCTGAAGATCCCTATGTATGAAATGATGACCATCCTAAAAACCTGGAACTTTTTATCTGAAAATCAACTGCAGACCATCAACTTCCATCAGAGAAAGGAATCTCTAGCTCAGGACTTGATTCTGCTGTGTGAGGTAACTGTTCAAAATTATCAGCCAATTAATTCAATAAAGTTCGATACATACCAATATGTATATGGTGAATTGATTTTTTTTTTTTTTTCTTAAACAAGGCTACAAAGAACAGTTCTGTGAAGAGAGAATAAGCTTTCCAACATATGGAACTATAGTAATTGGGTACTCTGCTAGGTGGATCGGTGCTCCTGTTCAGTCCCAGCACTTAGGAGGCAGAGGTGGGGGAATATCCAAAGTTTGGGTACAACCTGGGCGACATAGGAAGACCCTGTCACAAGCAAAGTAAAACAAGAATTTACTGTATTTTTTTTTTTTCAAGTGAATTCAAAATAGCTCCAAGATCCAAATTTAATACCTAAAACCATAAAACCTAGAAAATAAAACAAGGGAAAAGCCTTTGTGGCATTGGACTAAAGATTTCTTGGATATAAAGCCAAAAATAGTCATAAAAGAAAAATAATAAACTAATAAAATTTATAAATATTCCTCTTTGAAAAACATTGTTAAGAAAAGCCACAGTGGTAGAAACTGTTTCCACATCATTAGCTGTAAACAGCTTATCCCTAGGATATAGTAAATTCTTAAGAGTCTGAGCTGGGCTGGGTGGCACACGCCTTTAATCCCAGCACTTGGGAGGCAGAGGCAGGCCCCTTCAGTACAGACTCTTTTTTTTAAATTTTTTTTTTGTTTTTGTATTTTTAAAAATTTTTACAAAAATTTTAGTACATACTCTTTTTTTTTTACTTGAACTCACAGAGATCCACCTGCCTCTGCCTCCCAAGTGCTGGGACTGCGGCGTGCACCACCACGCCCGGCTATAAAATATTTTTTTTAATTAAAAGAAAAAATAAGCATAATTTTTTAAAGTAATAAAAAATTAAAATTGGAAATGGCCCAAGACCATCAACAGATAAATGACAAAGTGTGATGTATATGTACCTCAGACACCACCAGCAATCAAAGGATTGAACTATTAGATGCACAGATATGGCTGAGTGTCATGACACTTATGCTGAGTAAAAGGAGCCCGACCTAAAAAGAATCCAAACTTATGTTAACGTTCATGTAAAACTAGAAATACAAATGCTGCGACAAGGCAGATCCCCTGTTGCCTCACTACGCTGGATTGGGAGGGGGAGAGGTGGAGGCTGGAAAGGCTGAGCGTAAAGGCTTGAGAGACTTGGAGGGTGCTGCCTGTGTTCACCACGTAACATGGCAGTGTCATGCGTATGTTCATGGCCACATCTGAAGATTTTAAGTATGTCTTAGTTACTTTCCTGTGGCTGTGATAAAACACCCTGACAAAAGAACTTAAGGAAGAAAAGGGTTATTCTGGCTCCCAGTTCCTGGGGTATAGTCCATGACCAGGAAGGCGTGGCTGCAGGAACAGGAACCTGGCTAATCACACGGGCATGCACAGGGTGCACAGGAAGTGAGGCTGCGCTATAAAGTCTAACTTAGGCCCAGTCCCAGAGACCCACTTCCCCCTGCTACCACCTGGGGACCAAGTGTTGAACTACTTGTGCCTATGGGAAACATTTCACATTCAAACCACAACATGTATGCAGTTTAATGTGTGTTGAAGAGTTATGAGCCAGGAGTGGTGGCGCACATTGTTAGTCCCAGTACCTAGGAAGCAGGCAGATCTCTGAGATTGAGGCTGGTCTGCCTAGTGAGTTGCAGGTCTGCTGGAGCTCTAGGGAGACCCTGTCTAAAGGGTGTTTGTCTTAGGGTTTTGTGCTTTTGTTGTTTGTTTTGTGTCTCACTCTGTAGCCCAGACTAGCCTGGAACTTACTCTGTAGCCTGATTGGCCTCATACTCATTACTCTGCTAGGACTGCAGCTATGGGCCATCATACCTGGCTTTATGTTCATTGTTTTTAATCCAAAAGGCTGAAAGTGATGAATGTGGAGTAAGTTTCAGGGGAGCATGGGCTGAATAAGAATCAGAGGCCTGTCTACAGATTAACAGGAGAGTGCAGATTGGAGACAGGCTTTCTAGACAGTACTGCAGGTATGCTGAGAGAACTTTCCAGTCAGCCCTAAAATGGACTTGAAAGGGCTAGCACCAGACCTATCATCGTGTCTTCTAATCAGTTCATCCTCTCTTTCAGGAGAAACCTGCGAGTCTCGATGACGTGGCCCTTTTAGATGTCATATGTAAGTTTTAGTGATTTGGCTTTACACATTACAGTTTATTTCATCAGAGGGAAGTGTTTTATGTTAAAGATGCAGATTCTAGGGCCTGTAGAGATGGTACAGCAAGCAGTTAAGAGTGCTTGTTGCTCTTGCATATAACCGGAGTTTGGTTCTCAACACCCACATCAGGTGACTTACAACCTGGAGGCTACAACTGCAGCTCCAAGGGATTGGACCCCTCTCCTAGTCCCGGTGGGCATCTGCACATGCATGGCACACACGAATATACACATACATTTTTTTAAAAAGTCATCCTTGCCGGGCATGGTGGCGTATGCCTTTAATCCCAGCACTCGGGAGGCAGAGGCAGGCGGACCTCTGTGAGTTCAAGGCCACCCTGGCCTACATAGTGAGTTCCAGGACAGCTGAGGCTACAGAGAGACCCTGTCTCAAAAAGACCAAAAAAAAAAAAAAGTCATCCTTGTTAACATAGTGGTAAGTGTCCCCACCTGTCACTTGGTAGACTAGGGTTTGAGTCCCAGACAGGGAACCATGCCGTCCTTCAGAGAGCATGGTGGCCCACACCTTTAATCCCACAACTCAAGAGGCAGAGGCAGGTAGATCGCTGTGGGTTCCAGACCAGCCTGAGCTACATAGCAAGTTCCAGGCCAGCCTGTGCTGCATATAGTAAGACCCTGTCTCAAAAGAAAATTTGGAGGGATGCAGATTATAGAGTCGAGAAACCTGGTGTCCATTTGCAGCTGTGGCACTAGTCTAGTGTCCTGTCTAGCGTCCCTTGCCACATTGTACTCCTTTCTAACCCTGACTCAGTGGGGATGGAGCAGTCTGTGCTCCCCAGGATTGTTTAAAGGACTGAGTGAGGTGATGACTCAGAGCTCTTAGAATCAAGAATTGGTACATTATAAACATAAAAGCATCGTTTGTTGGGCTTTACTTTGCTATAGAATTTGGAACTGTGTCCCTGAGGATGTGCTTATTACAGCATAGCTTCTCCCTTTTATGTGTATATGTATATTGCTTGCATGTGCTTATAAGCACCCATGTCATGCAATGCCCACGGGAACTGGAGTTACAGACAGTTGTTAGCTACCATGTGGGTTCTGGGAATCAAACCTGGGTCATCTGCAAGAGTAACCAGTGCTCTTAACCACTGAGCCATCTCTCCAGCCCCCTCACTTTAAAATTTTTATTTTTCTTAATTAGCAGGAAACATGGAGACTAAGCACATAGACCATAGGTCCAGATTTCTTGGGTTGGCTTCACAGCTCAATCAACCTGTCTGTGAGCCCTAGGCAGGGGTGGGGCAGGGGCCTCAATAGCTCCTTCTGACAAGTCTGTGTGAGAATGATACTGCATGAAGTTGTGGTGGGGATTAGATGAGAGTGCACCAGGCACTCAGAATAGAGGTGGCCTGTCTGGGTTTTCATTTCATTTTTACGTGTTGTTTATTGATTTGGGGGGTAGGGTGGGCACAGATGCCATGGCACACATGTGCACACGTTTGAAAGCCAAAGGACATGTAGCAGAGTCGGTTCTCCTCTACCACGTGGGTCCCAGGGATCAAATGCAAGTCATCAGGCAGAAGGTGCCTTTACCTCCTGATCTGTTCCACCAGCTAAGAGCCTCATTTGTGCTGATGGGTTATCCTTATATGCGTCCTTATATGGCTTTATGACTGGAAACATGTCAGAAGTCAGCTTCATCAGCACCTTCCTCCAGCTATGACACAGCTGACTATCATGGAGCATCTGCTTCTGATGTAGTTTAGTGATTAAATTCTGACTGAGCTGTAATGGGTGGATCTACATAGCTCCATTGCTGGTGCACTGATGTACAACACAGGTGATTCCTACTCAGTGATGCCACAGTCCAATGAAGAGAGGTTCGTTTAACACAGAGCATACGAACCTCAGTTGTAAGTGCTATGAAGGGGAAGAATTCAGAAGGGTATAAGAGCACGGTGGGGGTTCCTTTTCTGTGGGAATGTAAGAAAACCTCCTTGAACAGATGCTATTCAAGTTTAGGGTCAAAGGATGAGCTAGCTCTAGCCAGGCAAAGGTGAGAGGGAGTTTGAAGAACGGGAGGCCAGTGGGCAAAGGGCTGGGTAGGAGGCATGTGCCCCTAAAAGCCCAGATGTGCAGGAGGAAGGTCCAGTGCGCTCCAGGGGAAGGGAGAGATTGGCTGGTACAGACTTGGAAGCTACTAGAAGAATCTTGGTCTGTATTCTAACGTGTAGCCCTTGGGTTCTAAGCTGAAAGAATGAAGTGCTTGTTCTTGAGAGACCATGCAGGCCACCGCACAGAGAAACCAGAGGGCGTGAGACCTATGAGTTTTCTGGAGAGGTGTAAGCAAGAGGGGGGATAGGGAGTGAAATGGCAGTGGAGGATGGAGAGGATGGAGGGGACTAAGGATAGAGCTTACACACAGCCTGGGACAGGACTCTCAGTCTACACATGTACCTGGAAGAGTGGAGCCCTCCCTGCTATGGTCTAACAAGTCTGTGGCAGATTAAAACGGTCTCCATCTGTCTTAGTCCTCCTTGTTCACCTTTTAGATGACGAATGTTGGAATTAGTAACAGTCTTATTCACAGACCAAAGAGCAGATCATCTCAACTCTGAATAGAGAGCCAGGGAAGAAAGGAACAGCAGAACAACATTTTGGGAGCTGTCTCTTGAGCAGGCATCACACTGTGCCTGCTGACACCTGCTTTAGATAGAACCAAATAATTAGTGAACGGTTGTCCTGCCACTGCTGTAAAGAGCAGTGGGGGTTGGTGATGGGGACGTGCAGGTACCAGCAAGGAGGAGATGCTGAACCTAGGGAAGGACGAGAAAAGCACTCGATGCCAAAAGCACAGCAGGTGAATTGTCCCCTGAGTGCTGGAGCCCATGGCCCCTTCAGAGATGCAAAAAGCCTGGTCTGAGGTAGAGACACAGGAGGTCAGTAGACAGGTGGAAGTCAGCACGGGGACAGCTTGAAGCCAGAAGGATGAAGGGAACAGGTTGAGCCTGCTAACCCCCTAGGTCCATTTCTCCTCCAGAGCATGCTTCAGCCTTCTCAAGGGCACTGTCTGTGTCACATGCCTGCCCATACCTTCATTCCCCATGCACAGTGTTTTGTGCAGGCAGGGTCAGCCTGGGCATGCAACACTGAACAAGTCCGCAGCCTTCACAGACATGTAGCATGCAGGCAGGCAGTGAGCACATGAGCAAGGATGACTGCCCTGGAGTAACTAGGGGTCGTTTGAGGGGATGGTCAAATGGGGCCCCTGAGGGGGTAGCTGCTGAGGAATGGAGCGGGGTGAGGTATAAGGAGCTGGAGAAGAGGCCTGGGGAAGGCCACAGTCAATGCCAGTGACAGCCATGTGGGGGTCATTACATCATGTGGGTACATGCTGCATTCTCCATAGCAGATTTATGTCAAAATAAGATGATCTGGCCAAACTAATAAGTGCTGACCCTGGGGGCATTATCTGTGTTGGCTGAATTGAGTAATTAGGGATTTGTCTAAAGTACATTGTTTATATTTTGAGATATAACAGTAAATTATGAACCTTTCCCCTTCAGACACTCAAGTTCATCGGCACCAGAAACATTGGAATGTTTATCAGATGAGCAGAGAACCAGGTAACATTTTCCATCTTAAACTGAATATTCGTATTTGATATTTTGGCAGTTTAGAAATGAATAGCAAATGTGGTCTCTTTTTGTTTGGGGGATGTTTTGTTTGGGATTTTCTTTGTTCGTTTGTTTGTTTCTGAGACACTATCCCTATGTAGTATAGGCTGGCCGAGAACTCACTGTATAGAGAAGGCTCCCCAGGGTGGGATAACAAGTGAGTGCTACCACACCCAGCCCAACAGTGTGCTGTCTCAGACTTCTTCCAAGAGGAGGTTACTGCTCCTCACTTGTGCCCTGATAGCAGGAGCACGTGTGGAGTGTGACCATTAACACTCTGGCTGCACAGGACACATAGCTTTGGGATTCTTGACCACTGTACTTATTGAAGACATGGTGGCACCCCAACCTTTTCTTCATATGTTTACTTTGGCAGATGAAGATGTCGACCTTTTTGATCTGGAACAATTCAAACGTTCATTTAAGAAAATTCTTCAGAGAGCATTAAAAAATGTAAGAAAAAGTTCTTCTTGGATTTCCATGAAATTCAGTACAGTGATATCTAGGAGGGGCAGGGGGAAGGGAAGGCCGAGGAGGAGATGACATGCCATTACCACTGCACTATCCAAACACTAGCTGCTGGTCACGTGTGGCCATGGAGGACCGGAGAGGGGACCAGTGTAACTGAGCAAATGTGTCTGTAACCTACCGAATGAATTTCCTTTGGACAGTCCACATGTGGCTAGTGGCTCTGCTGTTAGTCAGCAGTCATTTTTGCTTTTGAAATGGGAAGTGAAGCCGTCCAGAGTAAGACCCTCTTCTCTTCCAGCCAGCAGGGGCCCCTGAGCCCCAGTAGGGCTGTGCTCTGCACTGCTCACCAGGGGAAGCCAGCTCTGCACATCCACACCCCAGACGGGGAGGATCCCTTGTCTCTTTCAGCACTGGGATTTGGAACAGCATCTGGGTACAGAGTGGGTAGGTTGCTCCCCCAGACACTATAGCCACCTGCTTTTCCTGAAGTAAGATCCCAGAGGGAGTGAATAGAGCCAGCAAGCCAACTGTCTCCATCCTTTCCTGGGTGAGATCCCCAAGGGGACGCTGACTCTGGGGCTAGCTGATGATCTAGGAGGAGGCTGTGAAATTCCAGAGTAATTGCAGTCATGGTTCCAAGTTTAGAAAGACCTGTGCTTGTCTGGGAAATGGAATCCAGGCAGAGCTCCCAGTACTCTGCTCATTCAGCATTCCTTTAGTTGTTTTTAGCTTCTGAGCTCGATGCGGAAGCATTAGGATTGGTGTGTTTTGAGCCCCTTAGCATGTAGAAGTGCTGGGCCCCAACTTTGTAGGGCACACTAAGTCTACGCTAGACAGTGCTAAAGTTCCATTGTAAAATGGCCATCTCAGCCGAGTGTGGTGGCACACATCTGTAATCCCAGCACTTGGGACTCAGAGGCAGGTGGATCTCTGTAAGTTCGAGGCTAGCCTGGTCAACTAGTGAGTTTCAGGCCAGCCTGAGCCAAAACAGTGAGGCCATCTCAAAAAGGAAAAAGAAAACCTATGTCTTTTTTTTTTTTTTTTTTTTTTTTAATTCGTTTTTTCCTGGGTAAGATCCACCCCGCCTCTGCAACCCGAGTGCTGGGATTAAAGGTGTGTACCACCACACCTGGCTTAACTGTGTTTTCTTTTTTGTTTTTTTTGTTTTTTCTTTTTGAGACAGGGTCTCCCTGTAGCCCCAGCTGTCCTCTGCCTCTGCAACCCGAGCGCTGGGATTAAAGGCATGTACCACCGCACCTGGCTTAACTGTGTTTTCTTTTTTGTTTTTTTTGTTTTTTGTTTTTTCTTTTTGAGACAGGGTCTCCCTGTAGCCCCAGCTGTCCTAGAACGCACTATGCAGACCAGGCTGGCCTCAAACTCACAAAGATTTCGCCTGCCTCTCCCTCCCAGGTGCTGGGATTAAAGGCGTGTGCCACCACGCCCAGCAACTATGTCATTTTTAAAGCTGCCTTACTTCATTAAGTGGAGGATATGTTCAGGACAGGCCTAAAATCATTGAAAAATATTGATACCATGCCCTGATTATATGGTTTTTTTAATGTATATTTTTATTGCGTTTACAATAAATCTTAATCATATTTAGACACACACGCACACACATGCCCCCCCCATAGCTCCACCACCAGATTTCATGCATTCCTTCATATATGATAAGTCCTATCCAGTCAAGCATTTGCACCCAGATGTTCCTCAGTGAGGACAGGCCTAAAATCATTGAAAAATATTGATACCATGCCCTGATTATATGGTTTTTTTTAATGTATATTTTTATTGCATTTACAATAAATCTTAATCATATTTAGACACACACACACACACACGCACACACATGCCCCCCCCCATAGCTCCACCACCAGATTTCATGCATTCCTTCATATATGATAAGTCCTATCCAGTCAAGCATTTGCACCCAGATGTTCCTCGGAGGGAGCAAGTTCATCCACTCAGTCTAGCCAGCCTGTCTAGAGTCACTTCCCTTAAAGAAGATCTTCTCTCCCTCACCAGCACTAATCAGTTGCTAATAGTTCTTGGTTAAGGTTGTTTGGAGCCTGCTGCCCATTTCCCCAGTTCTGTGCTGGATTTTTGTCTGATTGAGTCAGCATGGATCTTATGCATGCTGACACCGTTGCTGTAAGTTCATGTGAGCAAGTTCTCAGAGGCCTAGAAGACTCTATCCTTGTGTTCATGCACCAGTTCTGGCTCTACAATCTTTCTGCCCCCTCTTCCACAATGGTCCCTGAGCCCTGTGCAGGTGAGGTTTAATATAGGAGTCCTACCCAGGGGCATGCAGTCCTCAGTCTCTTAATTCTCTACAGTTTGGCCAGTTGTGGCCTTTGTGTTCATTGTCCTCTGTTGCATGAGGAAGTTTCTCTGGTGAGAGTTGAGAGATGCATTAATATTCTCTCTACCCACTGCTCCACTGTGTTCCAAGAGCCTCTGGTATAGAGGTTCCACTGTAGATGTGTCACTTAGGGCTGGGCATCTCTCAGAGATATTCTCTGTATGTGACCAGTTGTGGAATTCTGTAATAGTCTCCATCTATTGCAAAAAGAAGCTTCTTTTATGAGTGGTGTACGGTATACTTGTCTGTAAATATGTATTTAGCAGACAGTAAAAAATTTCATTTGTCTAGAGATAGGACAAAGATAGGGTTTTCTCTAGGATCTATGACCTCTCCAGCCATGTGTATTTGGCTGTATTTACAGTGCTATCCATGAGTTCCCTCCCACTGATAGGGCTTTAAGTCCAATTAGGTACCTGTTGCTTGCCCCCTAGATAAAGGTGCCATTACTGCACCATTATAGTTTGCTGTGCTGGTCATTGTTGTGGTTATTAGGCTTTACAGCTGGGATTGGACCATTGATTGATTTTCTCCCTTAGCAACTTGCATAGTATCCTCTAGAACTATGAGAGCTAGTAGTCTTCAGGAAGGAGGCTTCCAAGTCAGTTCCAACTCCATTGCTCCAAGTCTGATTTTAGATTTTTAAGAATTTTTTCTCCTGGGTCTAGAGAAATGGCTCAGCGGTTAAGAGCTCTGGCTGCTCTTCCAGAGGCCTGAGTTCGATTCCCAGCACCCACATGTTGGCTAACAGCCATCTGTAACACCAGTTCTAGGGGATCCAACCCCCTCTTCTGGACTCCATGGGTTTTTCATGAAACATGCACTTACATAGATGCAACAAAACACTCAAATACATAAAATAAAAATAAATCAATCAGAGCCGGGTGTGGTAGCGCATGTCTTTAATCCCACCACTCGGGAGGCAGAGGCAGGCAGATCTCTGTGAGTTCAAGGCCAGCCTGGTCTACTTAGTGAGTTCCAGGACAGCTGGAGCTACAGGGAGACCCTGTCTCAAAAAGACCAAAAAAAATAATAATAATAACAATTTTTCTCCTAAAATGCTTTGTGAGAAAAAAATGTATGTTTTTTATGATAGTTTATGTTTGTGAGCATTTTGCCTACATGTATGTAAATGCACTTGTATGAGCAATGCCCTTGGAGGCTAGAAGAGGATGTTGTATCTCCTGGAACTGGAGTTAGGCACAGTTGATAGCTGCCATGTGAGAGAACCAACCAAGGTCTCTCCAGCTCCATAAATGTATCTTTATAAAACAATTACAAAATGTTTTCCAAAGATTCCCAAAACACTATTAATAAAAAATAGAAAAAGAACCAATGAGCTGGCTTAGCGGGTAAAGTTGCTCGCTGACACCCTGACCATGAGTTGAATCCCCGGAACATACGGTGGAAGAAGAAAATCAATTCCTGAAAGTTGTCCTTTGTCCTCCATATGTGTGCTGTGGCATGAGTTGGGCACACGCGTGTGCACAAACACCCATGTAAATGTAAATTTTTTCAGTGGCAAAGGGCATGCTTATAAAATCACAGTAGAACTGTTCATGTCTCCTTGGTGCCACAGTGAGAGGTAACCAGGAAATGTCTGTGTTAACAAGGTGACCATCAGCTTCAGGGTCGCTGAGACAAATGCCGTGTGGATCCGGGTTGCCTGGGGGACACAGCATGCAAAGCCAAACCAGTACAAGCCTACGTTTGTGGTGTATTACCCCCAGACGCCGTATGCTTTCATTTCCTGCTGCCATCTGAAGAGCACCGTTCCCCTTCTCCACCAGGTACGGGCGGACTCCTGCAGCTCTGATGCTTCCTGTACTTGTCACAAGGGTCTATGTGGGATTAAGCTGCTCCATAAGCATGTAAGGCAGAGTACGCCTTCAGTTCTGGTTCTGAAACGGGTTGGGGAGCCTTCCTAGCCACAGGCAGAAGTGTGGGTGAGATTTGCTGCTGCTCCTCCTCGTAGCTTTTGCCCTAACAGAGATGCATGCTCAGTAAAAGCCAACAAAAAATGCCATCAGTTCAGAAGTGTTTAAAGGCAAAAGGTTAGCCTCAAAAGTCGATACCCTTGTCCCACTTTAGTCACCCCAAGTGGCTGGTCAGCTTGCTCTCTCCTTCCAGAAGCTGTTTCATCCCAGAGTGTCACATGGAATGCTTTTCCTTCTTATTTTTTCCTTTTTAGAAATAATTCTCTTTTTTAACAGTTTATTATTTTTATTTTATGTGTATGAGTGTATTGCCTGCATGTATGTAAGTGCACCTGTGTCATGCAGTGCCCGTGGACGTCAGAAGAGAACATCACATTCCCCTGGAACTGGAGTTACGGACAGTTGTTAGCTGCCATGTGGGTCCTGGGAATTGAACCTGGGTCTTCTGCAAGTGCTCTTAACCTCTGAGACATCTCACCAGCCCCTAGAAATAATTTTTTTTAATTTGTTTTTAATTTTATGTGTATGAGTGTTTTGCATCCATGTATGTATTTGCACCATGTATATGCCTGGTACCCTCAGAGGCCAGGAGAGGACACTGGATCTCCAGATACTGGAGTCACAGACAATTGATAGCCATCAAATGGATGCTTGGAGCCGAGCCCAGGTCCTGTGCAAGGGCAGCCCATGTCTTAACCACTGAGCCATTTCAGCTCACATGCAGTGCTTTCGTGTATATATTATCTGCCTTCTAATAACCATCCACCTTTGTGACCATTTTCCCTGCGTGTCACACAGGAAACACTTTAACGTAGGAGGCAGCCTCTGTCCAGAGCCTGCCTCTCTCTGGGTTCTGCTTATGATGTTGTAGGCTTTCTAGCATCTTTCCCCAAACAGTTCATCCTGAAGTTGGCCTGGCAACGAATACCGGCCGCACCTTCTGCTGTTCCCCTTCTTCTGAGCTGGCTGCAGGAGCTAATAGCAGGCTGTCGGATAGTGAGCGCCATGCTGCTCTCACAGACACGCAGGCCGAGGAGACACTCATTTAATACTTCACTGCTCACATCTGTCCCTCTTCCTCTGGGGTGAGACAGTGGTCATCATCCACTTGTGGCCTGGAGAATGACTTTGCCACAGATACTTTAACATGTCCCTGAAGGCTGTGCTCATTTCTTCCATGTATCTTTTATATTTTTTTTAAGTTTTATTTATTATTTTTATTTTATGTGTATGCATGTATTACCTGCATGTAGGTAAGTGCACCCGTGTCGTGCAGTGCCCGCGGAGGTCACAGTGGTCATCATCCACTTGTGGCCTGGTGAATGACTTTGCCACAGATACTTTAACATGACCCTGAAGGCTGTGCTCATTTCTTCCATGTATCTTTTATATTTTTTTTAAGTTTTATTTATTATTTTTATTTTATGTGTATGCATGTATTACCTGCATGTAGGTAAGTGCACCCGTGTCGTGCAGTGCCCGCGGAGGTCAGAAGAAGCTGTCGGATCCTTTGGGGATTATATTTAGTACACACTTTTTCTTCAATATTTCCCCTAAAATACACTTTTGCATGACATCAGCATAATGTTAGACAACTTAGTATCAGACACTCTCCAGTATTTGTCGTCCATTCTTGATTCTGAGCTCAGAATTCCTAATTTCAAGCTGGATCACTTTCCACAGTGTCTGCATTTGTGAGGACTGTAATACCTTGATCCTGTTTGTTTTTGATTTTCAAGCTGAATAGCAGGTGATAAGGTTAAAATTTTTGTTTAGTTCTTTTCATTTCTCTTCACTTTGTGGGAACGTTGTTTTGAAGCAGCATCTCACTTCTGCCTGGCCTCCCCTGGCTGGGGTTAGAGGTGTGCACTGTGCACCACACCGGCACTCTTCACTCTTAAGTGGAAACTGGTCACTGATTGTAACTCCTACATTCTCTGGCAAACTGTATAAACCCAGCAATAGCAGTTTCTGACAGCCTTCTTCCATCTCCTTCCAAGGCACTGAGAGTTGCTAGCAAACACCATCAGATTGTGCAGATGGACCTGAGAAGCCGGCACCTTGACTCTCTCAAGGCCATTGTTTTTAAGGAATACAATCAGGTGAGCCAATCAGCAACTCTTTCAGCTGGATTTTCATTTTCTCTTCCAGAAGACCCACTGAGCAGGCAGAAGTCCACTCCCAGCACAGCCCAGGATGGATTAGTAGAGAAAGCTTTCAGTCTCTGTTTGTTTTCTGTGTTTATTTCTTTCACAATTTCATGCATGTACTTTGATCATATCCACCCCCTAATACCCTCTATTGTCCTGTTCTCCACCCACTAAAACCTTTCTTCCCCAAAAGTCTCACTCTTACTTTCATGGGGATTTTTGCCTTTTTTCTATGGCCCAGTGCCTTTAATTAAGGTTGCATGCACAGGTGGAGCATTGAACAACTTACCAGTGGCTACACCACTGAGGTCCAGTACATTTAATTAAGGTTGCCTTCGTGAGTGGGTGGGGGATAATTTATTTGGTGGAGCTCTGAACAGCTTACCAGTGGCTACCCCCTAGAAGCCACTAAGTGCCAACAGCTCTTAGGGAAGGGCAGGGCCTCATGAGTCCCTCTGGCATCCATGATGGAATGGTGGCAGCCCAGTCTGTGCAGGTCTTATATAGGTCAACACTGCTGCTGTGAGTGCGTGGGTGCGACAGCCATGCTGTTTAGAAGACAGCACTCTTTCCCTTCCTCTGGCTCTTACATTCTCTCCACCCCCTTTTCCGTGATGTTCCCTGAACCCTGGAGGGGTGATAGAGATGTTTCCGAGCCCTCAGCAGTCACTTACTCAGCACTTTGACCAGTTATGTGTCTCCACATTAACTGTCACCTACTGCAAGCAAGCTTTTTGACCAAGACTGAGAACAGCACTCATCTGTGAGCATAGACAAATGTTTGGAAGACAGCTTGACAGTCACTTATCTGTCCCAATAATCAAGAAGGAGGAAACACAGGAGTTAAATTTATAGAGGAAAGCAACGGTTTTGAATTATTTGTTAATAATAGTTGGGTGTGGTTTAATGACAGGGATGGCTCTGTCCTTAGAGGCTTAAGGGTTTTCTCCAGTATATGGCAGGTGTTTGCACATGTGTTGGTGGATGGAGTCCTTAGGGAGATTAGATTTGTATATTATCTGCTCTAGGTAGAAAGCAATGATGGCTCTCTGCAAGTCACTTGTTAGGGGGAGATGTTTTTTGCTTCAGCTGGGCATGGTGAAGCAAGCCATTAATCCCAGCACTCAAGAGGCAGAGGTAGGCGGATCTTGGTGAGTTCAAGAACACACTAGTCTGCAAAGGGCGTACAGGCCAGCCAGGGCTACATAATGAAACCCTGTCTCAAAAAAAAAAAAAAGAAAGAAAGAAAAAGAGAGACTTTTGCTGTCCCTTCCATTTATCCCACTCGTCCTCCACAGGGTATCACCTGTACAGCATGACAGTTGCATGACTAGGGGAACTCACATTGCCAACGGCTGAACTGTAAGAATTATCACATCAGTGGGGAAAGGCAGTAGAAGGGATCCACAAGATTCAGACAGCAAAGTTATTTTTCAAGGACAGATTGTCAGAATTACAGAGAGGCAAAGCTAAGTGACATCACCCTGCAGGGCTCCTCTGATTCTCCCCACTCTGTCTGATGTCACCCTGCAGGGCTCCTCTGATTCTCCCCACTCTGTCTGATGTCATCCTGCAGGGCTCCTCTGATTCTCCTCGCTCTTGCATGTCAGTTCTCTACCTCAAGGTTGTTTTGTTTTGTTCTGTTTCATTTTTCATGGTGCTGGGGATTGAACCCAGGGCCCTACCTACGCTAGGCAAATGCTTCACCACAGAGCTACATCTTCAGGCCAAGATCCATTTTATGGTAACAAGAGTTCCTCAAACAGCCATGTTGCACAGCCTTCTGTGCTGGGAACAATGCTCAGTTCAGTCTGGATGGGACAGCCCTCACTTCTTTCTAGAACAGATAAGAATATGCAAGTGCTGGGCATGGTGGCGCACGCCTTTAATCCCAGCACTCGGGAGACAGAGGCAGGCGGATCTCTGTGAGTTCAAGGCCAGCCTGGTCTACAGTGTGAGTTCCAGGTCAGCTGGGGCTACAGGAAGACTCTGTCTCAAAAAGACCAAAAAAAAAAAAAGAAAGAATATGCAGGTAAGGCCAGGTGTGGTGGCACTCAGAACCTAAAAAAGAATATACAAGTGTAAGAGCCCGTAAAAATGTTAAGGTTTAGCAGCTTTTACATGTTAAAGCTAATACCCACACCCCAACATTAAAATTAGTAAAATACTTTTCCTTTTTTCTCCCTCTAGACCTTTGAAGATCACAACTCCACAGCACCTCTACAAGAAAGAAGCCTTGGCCTAGATATAAATAGTATGTGTGCTTTGAGATGACTGAAACTTGGATGGGCATTATTCCCTTTCAGACATCTGTGGCTCAGTGAAACACATACATACTAGGATCCTGACTCAGAACTATTTAATGCTTTCAGAAAAATTGAAAGTCAAAGATCTATGGAAGCAGAGGTCAGGCTAACAAGGTCTCCTTTAGACTTTACTAGTGTGGCTGATAGCTGTTGAGAGCTGCTTCTGTGCCCAGCACTGTCCTAAGATGTTTGTGGAAGTGTCTCTGTTACCATAGTCATCCTATGCTAGAGCAGAGCACTGTCCATTGGGAAACTGAGTTTCGGGAAGGCTTATGGTAGCTCCAAGTAGGGTCACACAGTTGGGTCTGCCCAAGGTGGGGCAGTTCCCTCCATGCACTGCATATCCTGGTTCTAGAGTGTCAGGATGGTGACTGCGTTGCTATGCATGAGGCTCTTCTTTGGAAAACCCGAACTCCTTTTAGCGATGAATGAAAATGAAGCCACTCTTAGGAGAGAGCCTTGTTACAACTCTGGCGGCAAAACTGCTGTTGGTTCCATGTTGAGACAAGAAATCGGAATACAGAATTGGGCACTGTTGACTGTAAAGGAGCCAGACAAACGTATTAGAGTGGTGACAGTTTGGGTGACAACTGTAGGTTACTTTGTTCTCCTTCATCAGCCTGTACTTTCCAACCGTTCTACTTAGTAGCAACAGATTTCAATCAAAAGACGGCACAGGCAACATGTGTAAGTTATACAAATAACGTGAAAGGGTGGGGTGAAAAGAATACTCTTTAAGGATGCAGTACATCCCCAGTGGCTACTTCTATCTGAACTCTTGCATCCACAGTGGATTCAAGGATTGTTCATGAAAACACCATAGAAAAGGAGAGAATCCGAAGAGTGACTCAAGAATCTTTTGGAGATCATCCTCAGCCACAGCTGGAATTTGCACAGTACAAGGTAGGACCTGTATGAATACGGCCTGCATCAGAGGAACACTGTCCTTCTATGGGTGCCAGAACTTTATGTGGAGAACAAGTCTAAAAGCTCCCTTTTCTGTCACTTCAGGTCTGTGTGACACATGTAAAGAACTGTGCAAAGGGGACTTTCTTAAATTTTAAATGCAAAATTTGCTTTTGTATTTTTTAAATTTTTTTCACTTTTGAGACAGGGTCTCCCTGTAGCCACAGCTGACCTGGAACTTGCTATGCAGACCAGGCTGGCCTTGATCTCACAGAGATCCAACTGCCTCTGCCTCCTGAGTACTAGAATTAAAGGCATGTATAACCAAGCCTGGTAAAATTTGCTTTTGCATTTTGTCTTCCCTGTTCAGTTATATATTAACTTGCTATGAGGGGGAATTGTAGCCTGTACCTTCTAGCCTGTCCATGCCAAGGACAGTATTTAGCAGATAGTCAGTGCTCATAAATACTTGAATGAATGAGCTGGGCATAGTGGTACACAACTGTAATCCCAGCTTTCAGAAGACTGGGGCAGGAAGACTGAGGCTCGGGTTCAAGGCCACCCTGGGCTACATAGCAAGTTGGAGGCAAACCTGCCTGACTCTGACTCAGAAACCCAAAACCAAAAGGAGAGAAAATGAGTAATTGCATAGTCTCCTTGGCATCTCATGGAGAAAACCGGTATTGTAGGTACATGCAAATTGCTTTTCCAGAAGTGTGCTGCTGCCCCAGGAATTTCGGGTAGGACACAAATGCTCAAGCCCATGGCCACCACTAGAAGATCCAGAGCTTGTGTCAGTCACACTAGCACAAGCCCATGTTCCTACACACAGCACCTTCCTTCCCTAGGCCCCCCAATAAAACTTTCTGTTCTGTCCTCTTACTGCTACAGGATGCGCTTAAAATTGGTCAGTGATCTGCTCACTTCGGCCCAAAGGGTATTTAGTTTGATTTGTGATGAGAGGAAAGAGTTGATGCTTTTCAAATTCGTCTTTTAGTTTTGTGTGGGGGTGTGTGTGCAGGTGTGTTCGCTTGTGCGTGCAGTATGGAGGCCAGAGCTGACATTGGTCTCTTACTTCTCTTCACCTTACTCTTTGAGATTGGGTCGCACTGGACCTGGAGCTCACTGTTATGGCTAGACTGGTTCTCCAGTGAGCCTCTAGAATAGACCTTGTCCCCTGCCCACCGTCCCCATGCTGGGATTATAGGCATGTACCACCATACCTGGCTTTTACTTGGGTGCTGGGGATCCAAACTCATGTCTGAGTGCTGAGCAGCAAGCAGGCACTTTACCCACTGAATCATCTCTCCAGCCTGTTTCTCTGTCTGCTTTTTCAGACAGGGTCTTGTAGCCCACACCAGCCTCAAATTTACTATGTAGCCAAGCTGGTCTTGAACTTCTAATCCTGTTTCCTCTTCCCAAGTGCTGATATTACGGATGTGGGCCACCACACCTAGCTGAGTGGTATTAGCCCAGCCTCTTTAAAACACCTGTAAACTAGGATGGCGTTCCTAGTTTCTCTGCACTGGCAGAATCAGTCATTTGGAAATGGTAAGAAGTGTAGATGCTGGGCTCCACCCTAGTCCCCCTGGGTCTGGAGAGGTGGGCCCGGCAGTCTTTTCACATGCTGTCTTGGTGACTGCACACTGAAGCTGGAGAGCCAGCCGTACAGAGTCGGGTGGTGTGAGTTGTAAAGCTTGCCGTGCAGCGTCTTCCCTGGCCCTTGTAAGTGGAGTGCTGCCGACTCCCCTGCCGCTACTGGGCCTCTTAGCTTTTCTGTTGAAGCTGTCAAACCCCAGAAAGCTGGCAGGAATATCACCAAGCTGGTCCCTCACTTACTTACCAGTTGTTAAATTTACCACATCCTTTCTTTTTCTGTACTCTGAAGTAACATTTGAATTAGTTGCAGACATTACACATCCCCCAAACACTGCATAGGGCCGAAAGTTTTCTAAGAATCACTTTAAGTTTAAAAAAAAACACTGATCACACCAGGCATGGTGGCACAGGCCTTTTATCCCAGTACTCGGGAGGCAGAAGCAGGTGTATTTCTGTGAGTTCAAGGCCAGCCTGGTCTACATAGTGAGTTTAAGGCCAGCTGGGACTACAGGGAGACCCTGTCTCAAAAAGACAAAAAATAAATAAATAAAATTAATAAAATAAAATAAA